CTCCGCCCCCGCGCCTCCGCCCCCGCGCCTCCGTCTCCGCGCCAGCGCTCCCAACGCAGCGAAAAGGACGGAAGAGAGCTGCGCGTGCCGGAGTAATGGACGGCGGAGGTTTCTGCGAAGTGCGCGAGGGCGGAGGACGGGCGAGGGAGGACGGCACAGCCAGCGGGAGAGAGCGAGGACGAGGACGCGCTTCTGTGAGAGGAAGTAACTAGTGGGCGCCCGGCGAAGAGGGACTGGCGTGGGTGAGAGGGTGGATGACGCCAGAGAAACGCGGTGTGATGATGCAACAATGAGATCGTAGGGGAGAGAGGAAGGTGGAGAATACGGAATGGAGATGGAAGCATGACAGGAACGCATAAACAATGAAGTGATGAAAAATAAAGCGTTTTTATATTAATAATAATAACAATAATAATAATAATAATAATAATAACATACATAACTTTTCGTAGAATTCCAGAATCTGATCGTTCTATAAGCAACTATCACACTAGAATGTATTCGGAGGCTGAGAAACATCTCGTTTTAAAGATGAAGACGCAAGCAATACATCTTAAGGCTCCAAAAAACTGTGTTGTAAGAATATTGGTCGCATAATCGATCTCGGAGAAATCTTTTAACTACAATTCTCAATGAAACATAATATTTTAATTACAATTGACTGTACTATATACAAAGGGTGAAGAAACTTTTTCATTTATTTCTCATTCATTGTTGTATATTTTGTAGGTGAGTAGAAAAAGGGATTTCATCAAAAGAAATAATATGCTTGCGAGTCAACTATTTCAAGTCGTTTTTTATTATGTAGTGTTTATTTTTTACTGATACGTTATTGTTTGTTATTACTTGGATACGGAGCTAAATATACACTTCGTAACTTACCTGCATCAAAAGGATCGTGGTTACTATAGATATATAAAAACAATTGAAAGATGCTATAAATGGTCTCTTACGGAGCAAATTGCGTGGGGGAATTATGAAAGGAAACTATAGTAAGGAAATATGAAAAGACAGAGTCAATTTAACGTCTGTTAATTAGCAAATAAGTAAATGTGAATAATTAAAATTAGGTAAAAATAAAATATTGTATATATCACGGGCGTGATAAATCGCTGTAATGAGCGAACGGCGACAAAAAATCCTCGGACCAAAGGCCCTCGATAATTAGTACCCTAATCACACACTTGGTACATAAACAACTACATATTTTGATCTTAAAATCCCAGTGAATTAGCAGGTTTTCCCCAGAGGCGCTAAGACCTTTCTCAAAGATTTCCCCCTCGGCGCGCCCTCGCCCCGCCCTTACGCGGCGTTGGCTGGGCGGGGGAGGGGGGGAGGGATTGAAGTGGACCAGAAGGGAAGACGGAGTGGGAAAAGGGCGCGTCGGGCAGAGAGGCGCAGCGAAGGCGAGAAGGCGTAGGAGGCACCGCAGTGTGGCAAAGTGCGTTTTCGCGGACCTGAATGAATTTTAATGCCGCGGGGCGTCGAGGGGGCGTGTCGGATCAGAAATTCTAGTGGGGAGCGACCGAGAACTACTGTTGCTCGGAGGCCAGCCGACGTGAACCCGTTGCTTCTGGCTCGGAAAATCAGTTCTACGCACGAGGCTTTCCAGCTCCGCGGCAGAGAGCAGAGGTAGAAGCTTTCAAGCCGCCCCGTATCATTCGTCGTGAGCTGAAGCTTGGGATTTACATTTGACGTTAGAAGATAGAGTATTACTGAAGAAACAGTTGCGACGTATCTTAGTTTGCTTGTACAATCAGGGGTTTATTCTTTAGATTACTTCCTATATATCACGGACAAAACTCTGCATTCAACGTATTCAACGTACCAAACGTGACAATAAACGTGAAAATTAACATTCGATCAAATTATTTTCACATTTCAGAAATAACCTTATTTACGATTATACGATATGCATATTTACGATTGCAAGTATTAGAGGAGTAACATTTGTGTCAATATGAATTTAGTAAAGCCAGGAAAATTTTGTAGTAAAAATAAACTATTAATATTCATAATTCATATTAGTAATAATATTCATAAAATTACTTTAATTAGAGTCCGAAAGTTCAGGTGTTTATCTAAAATAGGCTGGCAAAAAGGAATTTATTCTCGCTAAAGTAGATATAAAAACACAAGAAACATTAAAAAATGACCATTCAAAAGTAATTTGAGTACAAAACCATTAATTAAATTTATTCACATTTTTACTGTAACTAAAATTCACAGTAGCATGCACATGGGAGAAAAGTACCTTCTCTTTGTGGTCTTGATTGCACATGACCATCCGACATATGATGACTACGAATTTATTTACTCGCGACGCTGACTCTACAAAATGCTGTTGTGGACTCCATTTTGAATCTTGAAATGGTATGAGTGAGTTGTTAAAAGTTATTCAATCGTAACAATAATTAAAAGCCAATGTGCCAAACTTCCGAGCTCATAATTAATGAAAATCACGTGCCCGCTCAGAACCTTCAGCTCATAGAAATTTGGTTACTAGAACGCCACAGCAGTAAGCTTTCCCTTCGATACTTGTTCTATCAGAAGGGAAGACGATCGAAGCATAGCGACGTGTATGTGGAGACGTTATGGTTTTCCCCTGCAATTCCATAAGCACTATTTCAATTCTGATGAAGGTTAACCTTAAGCTTCGTGATTTATATCATCCCTTAAAACAATCTCGAAATATTGCCTTGCGTAAAGTTTCGTCATTCATTATTCTTCGAACATTTCCAATAATAATGATGGACATTCTCACATATCGTGCAATTAACATCTTCAATTCATTTGTCCTATGGCTTTCAGATCTTTTGTGTCATTCTCGTAGCTCTATCCTTTTTCTATAATGATCTCTCATCTGATTATTTTTTAGTATTTATTACGTCATCTAATATTTCTAATCTGCCTAGCCAAACATTTATTAGTGTTGACCTCATATTGTTAATCAAATTATTTATGACGTTATTTGTTTATAATTTACAAATCTATTAATAAATAGTTCCATTAAAGTTTATAGGATAATATTCTTCTACAAAATGAAGATAAACTTTTATACGAGATTCTCTTCTTTCTTCAATTTACTTTCTAGAGCTATTGTTTGTATCTTCTTCTGTGACCTATTAAAACTATAGTACCAGCTGAAGTGACTCAGGAAATCAAGTGAGGTCACTGCAGTGCCTCCAAATAGGGACCTAAGGTACGAGTCTCGATGATGGCAGGATTTTCGACAGTTATAGCTTATTAGCTACGTCGAATTCATCCGCTGCCTCGAGGAGCATTCTAACAGTCCGCTGCTCTGTTTGGTAGTTTTCCGTGGTTTACCCGATCAACATCAGGCGAATGCCGGCGCAGTACCCTAACACACGGGCCACGGACCGCGCACGATCCTTCCTGCCACTTCCTTGTCTATACTCACTCCTTATACATACGTACATGTGTTACTCTACCACACAAGTTTGGAGACCAGACCTTGAGATTGTCCCGACTGGGGCGATGCTCAGCTGGTGAGGGAGACCTGAAAGTGGGAATTCTCCGTATCTCCGCATCCAGCGAAGGATGAACACCGTCAACTCTCGTCATAACACGTGCACGACACTTACGGGACTAATAACCATAGCAGTTGACGCGCACAGAAACACCAAATAATCAATTACATTATAGCGCGTTTTACAAACGGGGTGACGCGTGGAACGATCAGGCAGCACGCCTTTAACCGTTTGGGCTGGAATTCGAGCGCCGACCGATCCAAGAGAAACTTGTGGATGGGCTGTCTGTAGAGAAAAGCTTTGAAATGAGATCCTAACTACCTCTGGCTCTTCGCATTCGCTACCGAATGTTAGGAATCCCCCCCCCTTGTGTTACCCAACAGACCATAGGACAAGGAAACCCAGTTAAAAAATTCACCTGTTCCCAAAAACCAGTCACTAAGAGCAACACGTTCATGGACTATTTATTTTAATTTAAAAAATCGCGAAATTTGGTCGAGTAGAAAGCTCTAAAGAAAACGGAATAGTGTTTTTATTATATAGATTTCGTAGTTTGCTTCAATGTTTTTATACCATGGTGAAGATAAAGCGCCCCTTTACTCACGCCCTCATTCGCGTTTGTCCTGCCTCCGGGCGACGCGTGGGCGCTGGTCGCTGCGCTCTTGCGGCGCCGGCGGCTGCGCGGCTGCGCTTGGCGGCTCAGGAGATTGCGGCGCTGCGAGCGGCCGGCGCCCTTTGATCCTGCGCCCCCCCCCCGCCTTCCCCTCCCGCACCTCCGGCTTACGAAGGCAGCATTGCCGTTGTCTCTGCAGCGATTGTGACAGGGAGGGCTTATGGTTCGAGTCCGTATGTGGCAGTATTTTCGACTCTAGCTACGTAGCTAGTTCGAATTAAGCCGCTGCCGAGAGAGGAATTTTAGCGACCGGCTGCGCTGATCGGTAGTTGTCTGTGGTTTCTCCGATCAACACCAGATGAGTGCCGGAGCAGTACCCAGGAAAACGGGCCACGGATCAGGCCCGATCTTTCCAACTCCTTCCGTTTCTTTTCTTCATCCCTTACTCACACGCACTACACTACAACACAAGTCGGGAAACCAATCGAGAGCTTAGCGCGCGCGATGTTTCCTTCCTCCTCCTCTTATTCTCACCCCTTACACACTCACACTTCTACCTACATGCCCCACACTACCGCACATATAGAAAGACCAGTCGGAAGTTCCGATCGTGTCACGGGTGAGGCAGTGCTACACTGGTAGAAACACATGGAGAGATATCCCCGTAAATCGACGTGAAGGTCGGCACTGGATCTCACCATCCACTGAAGAGAAACGCCGCCACTTTCCGGGAAAAACTAGACATTCACTACACCAGCACAACAATTGAAAATAGCAGTTGACATGCGAATAAACAATGAAATCCATGTTGCCTCGCGGTTATTCGGTATTACACCCTGAGGAAGGTCGCAGAATGGTGACCGAAACGTTGGCACCTTCGCCATGGACGCGGCGTCGCGACACCTTTGCACGGACAGCCAATTATAAATTTAGTTCTGTACCTAAAGAATATTATGAAATATTTCCATTACTATGGAAATAGCTATTGGTGCTTTTACTCTTGTATGTGTGAATACAAATTTCAGAAAAATAATTTTCTTTTGAGGAAATGGTTCGCAGGCCGATTATGGCACTGGTTGACACTGCGCCAGCTGACCCCAATTGAAAAGTGTCGACCATCCTCGAACGTGACTTTTTGTTGAAGATGGCCGTAGAGGGGAAAAGGGAACTACAAAAATCTTACCATAACAATCAAAATATTAATTGAAGGGTTCAACAGAAAAAGAGAGGACCTTTTCTTAGAAAAATTACAAAAGACAATCGAATGAACTTACCGTAAATATTACGCATCAAGCCTTACATCACATTGGAGATCACTGTGGTACTGTTATACCACTGAGTGTACCAGGACTTCTGGGGGAGATCGTTAGAATCTAAAGAACACGTGACACAAAGTTCGGTTCATGGATACTATGAGACCGATGTAAGAATCCGAGTGTGAACCAGGCCTCCCCTGCTTTTTAGTTCTTTCTCAGTTCATCTATAGTTGATTCTCAATAACATTGTTTTACACCGACCAATACAAAATTTTAGAACATCTTACATCATATCACCAAGAATGAATTTGTAAAAGGAATAAAACATTTAGGAAACTCCCCCCCCCCATCATTATCGAGAATTTTCAAGAAAAATAAAGCCGACATACTTTTTAATAAATTAATCAAAAGAGAGTAGAAAATACTGATGAAAAAATGTCAATGAAAATTTAGAAAACTGGGAAAATAATGAGGCTATAAAAAAGATATCATGTCTACGTGGCATTATAGCAGGCATCCGCATTTCCTAAGCGGCAATGTTACGCTCTGATGAACGTCTTAATTACGAAGCACGCAGAACTTCAGCACATCGACACACTACACCGTAACTATATAAACAACACACAGTGTAGCAGGCATACTCTCGCTCGCCGCAGCAGTCGTTTCCCGCTCGCAGCGTCTCCATCACATGCAACCGTCTCCTCACGCTCTGCCGTGCGGCCTCGCCGCCGCAGCCTCGTCCACGAGACTACGCGCACGCACGTCCAACTACAAGTTCGACATGTCCCGACACACACCGGCGATGTCAAAGCAGCACGAGAGCGCACGGCGACAAGTGAAGGGCGCTACAGGCCTGGTGGAAGCCGAGGCCACGTTTCGCAAGGTGCAGTACACGCACAAGCACAACGGCTTCCAGCCATCGTGTCCCGCGAGGCAAGACCCAGCTGCGGCTACGGCAAGAAGAGAGCAGGTCTTGGCGCTGCTAAGCGGCTTGAGTGCTGGCCGCGTGCGGCTGGGCTGGTGCTAGGTTTAGCTGGATGCCGGAGCGGATGCGCGGTGCCCGGTGCGCGTTACGTACGAGAGCTGGTGCGAGCCCGGATCGTGTCGTGTGCCCACGGCGGCAGCGCCCAGCACAGTGGCCAGATGCCACGCGAAGGCGCGTGTCGCAGAAGTTCTAAGCGTCGTGCTCGAGAGGATCGGCGAGCGCGCGCGGCCCCGCGGGCCCGCGCGAGTCGGCGCGAGCCACCCGCCGCGCCCCAGCCGACCGCGCCG